GCTTTGAGGTCCGGATTATAGATCATTCTGGATTATGGGTGTCCGAATTAACGACTTTTGACTGTATTTGGAAGCTGCTTTCCAGATTGAATTATCCTCATTTGAAAGATTTTCCAAACATCTAAACCACTCCTGTTGTGAATGTAAGTTAGTGTAATGCCTGACTTTTTGGTGTAAGTCATTCATGATTCTTTTATCCAATGGGCAGCGAGTTGTTAAGGGTCACTGCCTAGACAACACATTTCATTGCAAAATAAGGACTAGCAATACTTAAGGAACTCTAATAACTGAAGAGTTACAAGAAGCAGAAAACTGCTGGATAAGATCCAAGCAAATCTCTAAAAGCTTTCTGATTGGAAAATTTCCTCTTTGTACGATTATTTCCTATACATTGATGAAAAGATGTGATTGAGAGGAAGACTGCAATTCCCTGACTTCTCACTAGATTATAAACATTCAGTTGTCCTCCCCAAAAATTCCAGACTAACAATGCTGATTGTAAGCAGATAACATGAGAAGACAGTGCATGGAGGAACTGCTGCAACTTTAGCCAAAGTTAGATCTTAGTTTTGGTTTCCCAAGGGATGCCAGTTACTCAAAAAGGATGTTAATTTGCTCAATTTTACAAAAATATTTAGCCAAGCCAGCAGACTATATAATATCACCCTTACCTAAAGACAGAATCCAAGAATCACCTCATCTGCAATTTGTAGACTTGATTTTGCTAAACAAGTCTATGTAAAGAACTCTAAAGATACTCAAAAATCCTAAATTGTTTTATTTGCCTGTGTAATAACCTGAGCTACACACTTTGAATTTGAGTAAAATATGTCAACAGAGTCCTTTTTACTTGCATTTAATATATATATTTAGCAGAGTATGAAACTGCATCTACTCTGATAATGCCAAAACTTAAAAGAACACAGAAAGAGGCTGAGAATTTTCCAGAATTTTAGATGACAAATTCAAGAATTCTATTGCCAAAGAAAGAACCCAGTGAAATTTTATAATCGAGCAAATCAAAGTCTGTATTAAACCAACATAGCAGAAAATATCTCAATTTTGCTTTCAAGTTTTTAATTTCATGAAGTGATTATCCAAATAAGGTTCTTCTTTGTACAGCAAGCTTGAAAAATGAGGAAAGCTATTTGTTCATCTCTTGGCAAATTCTAAATCATAAACATTACTAAAACCCATAAACATTATTGAATAATAAGTAAATAAATATGATTAGATGAAGAACACGAGTGCATCAGGAAAGAAGCTAATCTAAACTAGTGATGCCTGGCAGAAAAGAGTACCAAATGGCTTTGACGAAAAGAACCGCGAAATTTTCGATAAATAGAAAGTGAATCATGCAAATGAAGATAATATATCTGAAGTCTTCATAATGATGAAAATACAGGAGTCATCAATAAAGTAAGAATATGATTTTAAATCTGGAAAATATTGCCACCAAATATTAATAAACTGATTGTTGAAAATGAAAAAAATTCAATTGATTATTTAATAAGAATTCTCGACTTGGACCAGTTACAAGACTTAATGGAACTTTGTAACTGAAAAAGAAATTATATCTCTCAATAAAATTTGAGAAAATATTAATGCACAAAATGAAATTAAACACCTTAAAAATTAAATATAACAAAACTGAGGTTAGCAATCAGCTTTTTACCCCTGTAAGTTTTGGTTTCATTAAGATCATAAATGCTCATTATTTCACAATCAACCTCCATATTCTTAATTTTATAAATTCTGCATGTCATCTTACTAGATTAAAATTGATGATCTAAAATTCAGAAATTTTCAAACACAGAATTGTGAAGTTCTGATGATTCTGGATCTTTGCACAGTATTAATTTTCTCATTTCCTGTCTGCCTATAATGTTATATTAGCTCATAATGTTTAACAAACCAAAGTTTATTAACCTTAGATTAAGATTGTACAAAATGAAAAGCAAAATGATTAAATTTATAAAGACAACTAAATTCTATTGGTGTTTTGTTGCATATGAAATGGGCAGAAAATTAAACATAAATAATCTGTTCATGAAAACCCATTCTATGAGTCTATTCAATGGGATTCGAACCTGAATCAAACTACCAGTATCTAGTGACTTTACCATTAAGCCATTTGAGGGCTTTACCATGTAAAGTAAGTGTATAGCTTAACAGCATTATTAATAATACACTGATCTTATGTATTTACTATTTTATGAGAAAAACATTTTTTGAAGCATTCTGCGAGCAAATGGTGTGATACATTGAAAATAAGACAAAGTATCAAAAATTAATTCAAAAAGATTACATTTAATGTACCAGAAAAAGTTTCAGCAATAAGAATTGGGTTTGACAAGCAATTATAATGAGCACGAGAGCTATTGGCTTCAGGAAAGGAATATCTTCCAGGAAGACTTTTAAGGAAAAATAGCGTATACTCAGATTACACATGCAGAAAACCCATTCTATGAGTCTATTCAATGGGATTCAAACCTGAATCAAACTATCTGTATCTAGTGACTTTATCATTAAGCCATTTGAGGGCTTTACCATGTAAAGTAAGTGTATAGCTTAACAGCATTATTAATAAATACACTGATCTTATGTATTTACTACCTTATGAGAAAAAAAAAAAAAAATTGAAGCATTCTGCGAGCAACTGGTGTGATACATTGAAAATAAGACAAAGTATCAAAAATTAATTGAAAAAGATTACATTTAATGTACCAGAAAAAGTTTCAGCAATGAGAATTTGGTCCAAATTCCACATAATTCAAACAGCTGTAGTAATTAGTAATTTTTCACAATATTTGCATTAATTTCTATGAAATTTAAAATGTAAATCTGGCAAGAAAATGAGGAAGCTGATACATAAACATCCTTTAGAAAAGTTTCAAAAGAAACATATTTTTATTTAAAAAATGCTAGAAAAATTTAAGACAGGTGTGGTTTGGTTGGTTTATTTAATATGGTAAATCACGCTAGGGCTACTTACAAATTAAGAAAGACTGAATATATATCTTAAACATATTTACAAGATTTAACACCAGAAATTTAATATATATCAATTAATGTCAAGAGCATTAAATACTCTGTAGTTGTAGCATAATATTATAAATAAATACAGTAAAAACTAGAAATCCTAAAGAGTAAAAAATGTGTAAAACTTCACATATTTCTAATCGAAATAAAAGATCATACAATAAAATACTGAATCTACTTGTATATTTTCTTTCCTTTTTTAGCACAAGGTTCTGACAATTTTTCAAGTATTCACACAATTTCCAACTTCAAGGCATTCAGAAAGGAAGCTCACCTAAATTCTGGAATGGATTCATCCACATAGTGACTGTTCTCACCTTACTTAATGATTTACTAGTGGAATTTGGGTACATGGGGTTCAGATGATGAAGCTTCAAGAAAATGGAGACATGTAATGTTCTTGATAGTCCTGAAGATCACTGGGAAGTGCAATATCACAGAATGAATGTGACAAATACGATGACATTAGGCAATGACTGCAATGACTTGCAAGTTGTGCAGATTGCACAGATAGTACTTCTAGTAGCATTAAATGATTTGACATCTACGGATTAACAGTGGACAGTAATAATAAAAGACAAAGAGATTCAAGATAGAAGAAATGAAGACATCTTATATAATATGGCTATGTTAATGTATGCATTCTTATTGAAATGCAGGTTTTCTTTTTAAATGAAATAATACTGTGATAGTCACCAGTAACTTATTCATAAATGCTTTTCTTTTATTTTGGCCTTACTTCATCTGTGTCCTTCAGACACAAAACTGTTTGAATAATTTTCTCTTCTCAATTTTTGTATGATAGAATTACTAAAAAAAGCGAGTATGTGTGTGTGTGTGGAGGGGGGGGGAATACTCTTTTAAACACGGTATAATCCCAAAGTAATTTTTCTAATTTGTGGTGATAGTTTTAAACAGACATGGAAAATAGCTCATCACCTCAAATGAGGCTATTCACAGCCACAATCATATCAAAAGCTTGCTTTGTTTCTTTACTCATGAATACAAATAGGCTGATACCAGCAAAACAAATTGCAAACAAACTTGTTGCATGCACAGGAACAAATAATGAAATTAAATGTGCATTCATTCTAGGCTGCATAAAACAGACCTTAATGCAATAATGCCCATGGTTTATTTTCTTCTTCTCTTAAACACAAAGAGTGCACATTTGAAAAGGTGTACGAAGAATCATAATTAAATTCCATGATCTGCTGTATAATTCTCTTCATGGATGAATCTTGATCATGATAGGCAAATTCCTTAATCGGAAGCTATTAATTGCTCACACAGTGCTTTTGAGATGATACTGAATCACCTGTATACCACATAATTAAATTATTTGGTCATAATTTCTTTGGTCTCTAGTAAACTGCAAAATAACCTGTAGAAAGCCAACTACTTATGCTCTTAAAAAAGTTAGGCAACACTAACAGAAGTATATGAGAAATTAGTCTAGACCCTTCTGGTTTAGTATGAAATAATATTAAAATATGGAATTAAAAAATATTCTCATATAATAAAGGAAGAGATAATGTCTAGTTCTTATTTATTTACAAATTTATCCCTGCAAGATTCCTGAATTTTAATTTGACCTTTCTAAAAATAGTTATATATACCATATTTACTTGCATATTCCCCTGCCCCCCTTTTTAATAATTTTATCACAAGAAAATCCAGAAGGAAAAATTGTGTGAATAATTTAATTTTCAAATCATAATTAACTCTCGCTTACTGAAAATACATTCACTACAGTAGTTATTGAGGTTTTCATCCAGTTCCTTTGCTGCATATTCAATTAATTCATTCCTAATTTCCATACTCTCACATATAAGGAAACTTTTTTAAAAATCATGATTAGATAAAGCCTTTCAAATTTAGCATATGCAAAAGTAGGCAATTAAATGTAATTTTTTTAATTACTCCTAAATTTTTTAGAAATAGGCATATAGACTCACTTGTGGGCTTCCTCTTTTATTGCAGGCTCGGGGTAAGTCAATCCTTTAGGTTGTGTTGGTACAATATTCCCCGATTCAGATTTATCTTCAGCTGTACATATCATGGTACCATCGCTAGTAACTTTTCGCAGCAAACCACTAGCAAGAAGCAAGAAACAAAACTTAATGAAGAAACATTCTCATTTTTTTTTTTTTTTTTTTTTTTTTTTTTAATTTCCATGCACAGGAATGAAGAGTATGTAAAATAATATATTTAAGAACATTTTAATTTTGATATAAATCAGAATTACTTTAAAATGCTAAAGACATATCAGAGGAAACTATATAATTAATATTAAGAAACCACAGCTAAAACATGCATGCTGATTAAAAAAATTATATTTAACAATAAGAAATTTTCATTTGTACATGCATATGACCAAAAATAAAAGTTCGTCTTCCCCTGCACTTTTTTAGAAAATTATTTATTGTTATTCCATTTCATTAATGCAGAAAAAATGTAATAATATATATACATGACAGCTATAAAATCAGACCGCAATTTCAGTGAGTGGCTATCGAATATTTGTATTAATTAAATGCATTATTTACTAGAAGGATGGAAAGAAGATCTCTACTTTATTTAAACTGTTGGCAAAGTTAGTAACCATAATTACCAACTGAAATATACCAGAAGATTCTCAAGTGAAAAATTACAATTTTTGATGATATTATTTTCAAAGAACTCCAAAATTATATAAATTTACTTTATCAGACATGATTCAAGTTATTACATTATATAACTATTTATAAGACGATTCTTATGATATTTAAATACGTTTTCTAATTTTTTTTTTTTTTTTTTGTCTAATTTCATTATGCAATTTCCTTACACTTTTACACTAAGAAAGTTCTGTGTAAGGAAAAATTTATCAAAGTGATTTGAAATACAAAAGTCAAATTAATAACTAGTGTAAACTGCACAAAAAAAAAAAAAAAAGGGCGAGCATTCTGCATCTCCCATTCTACTGGGCTGATTGACAAAAATTGCGTTTTTCATATCTCGAAAGCAAGACTTGGGATATATATTAGATTTATATACAGTATTGTTCTAACATATGTATTTTGACACAAAATCCTACTTTTCCTGAAATAACATACCGATTTTTTTCCATATTTCGATTCTACGACTCAAATTATGCCTAGATATTAAGTTTTGTAAAATTTGGTGTGAAACTTGCGGAGAAATTCAAAAATTTATCTTGCCGCAATTTTTTTCAGTTTACACCAAGAATAGTTCACTTGCCGAACTTCTTATTACAAGGCAACCAATTTTCCTTTCGCTTCCATTATGCCAGAGTGGAAAAAAAAAGGCACCTCATTCCTATCTTTTTACATTGTGCACGAGTGGAAAATAATTGTCGCATCGTTCCTACTTTCAAATAATTTTAGCATAGTGTCTAAACCCCATTTGATGTTTTATCGCTTTCAACAAATATGCCAAATTTCAAAACACTGCAGTATATAAATTCATGTATATCTTCGGAAATTTTGAATAAAAAACTTATTTTTTTTTGCAGGTATGCTTAGAAATATGTCTACTTTAAGATGATGGTAAAAATTTATAAAAATTATTTAAAAGTACAAAGTTTAAAAATAAATCAAAAAATGGGTGAATTTTATTTGGAATGAACCTGAATTTCAAAATGTGAAAGGAAGAATCAAAAATGTTTAATAAAAAAATGAGATATTAATAAATATATACCAAACTCAATTAACATTGAGGAGCTAAAATATAGAGAGCAAATTTTTTAAAAACTACTCGTGTGATTTTTACAAAACTTGTTAGTTTGGCATAATTTGAGTCGTAGAATGGAAATATGGAAAAAAAATTGGTGTTATTTCAGAAAAAGTCTGATTTTGTGTCAAAATATCTATATTAGAACAGTGCTATATATAAATCTAATATATATTTTGAGTCGCGCTTTCGAGACATGAAAAACACAAGTTGAATTTCGTTAATCGGCCCAGTAAAATGGGAGATATAGAACTGTCTTTTTTTTTTTTTCTTTGCACAGTGTACATACATGTGTAGATAAATATAGTAATGTACTACATATCATAAGATAAAATGAAATTGAATGCAAATATTAACTGAATAAACATCGCTTAATCTTCACTGAAAAGTCCTATAAATGTCTACAGTAGGTTATGACAATTCAGAACAATTAAAATTTAATTAGAAAAATTATGCTGAAAATTTCTAGGGGCAGGGAATGGAATTTACATAATTTAATTTAATTAGTTAAATAAATTTCATTTATTGCTAGGAAACTTAGCAAAGCCTAAAAATTAAAAACCAGGAGATTCAATGATCAACCAGAGATCTGATGAAAAGTGAGATCCAGGCTCTCAGTAAAACATGAGAGTTTGCAGCTATGCTTACCATTAAAAATCAGGGTACTTGCATTTGTCCCAATGACCGTCAAACTGTTACTAAGCAGCAAGATTTAGTTATCGATAAGCATGAGGTAACAACACACTCATAACACCTATACTTTTGTTTCATGAAACCCTGATTTATCCTCAATAACCCATGTATAATACTGAACTTTTCCCCTGCATTTTGAAAAATATATATATATATATATATATATATATTAAAAATTTGAGACTGCCCTTTTACAGAAGAGCAAGCAGGGGATTATTTTCAAAGTCATGAGATACTACCATCAGAAAAAGAGTGTGTTAACAGACACAGTATGTTCAGCTGCTTGGAATCAGAGAGCTTAACAAAATAGTAGAAATCAATGAACGCCTTTTACGAAACACAAAAACAAAGCAGGTCAAATACTGATTGTTTGTTAAATAAAGAGGCATCAGTTATTTCAGAATTCCGCAAGAAGAATTGGAGTAACTTTGGCAAGATCTCTGCTAACTTTCAAGATTCAATGATAGCCAACTTTTACATTTAATGGAATAATACATTAAGTATCAGAATCAGTTTTTAAACTGAAGATTTTATTGGCAGTGAGATTTAGCCAAACATTGTCTAACGCCCCAATATCACTTATGAATTAACACAAATAGTTTTTAATAGCTATTCAACTATAAACGAAAAAAATTTAGAGCTTTCTTTACCATAAAATTATAAAATAAAGTCATTAATTTTTGCAATATTTAAGAGCATAAAATATAAGAGTAATCACAAAATTGATGAGAAAATATACCTTTCACACCATGTGCATTGTTTCAATCCAGTACGACTCATAATTGGTACAAGTTCATCTTTTACAGGATCATATTTACAAGAAATACCTATTAAAAATAAAATTATTTAAACAGTTGTAAAATAACCAACAAGACATTAGTCATAAATCAAGTTTTAAAATTCAAATTTAAACCAATAAAATAAATGATTAATTAAAAAGTTATCAAAAATGCTTAGTAACAAGATAATTTACAAAAACCTTAATTTACCAACAATAGGACAAGGTGTATTTCTAATTTCTCTGCATATTTTACTCAGAAAAATAACAAAATTTAAGCAGATATATTTACATGTATACAGCCAACTGGCACCATGCGCATAAGCATTCTTCATTTTCAACAAGCAATGGTATAATTTTTGTTTGCATTCTTTTCATTGTATTGCAAGTTTCAATAATTTTTACAGACAAATAAATCGTGATATTTTTTCCGTGTTAAGTTTAAATTATGTTTTAATTATATCATAAGTTTAAATTATCCCCTTGTGAGGTCAGCTTGCAATGACAGAAACTGCATTCCTGCAAGAATACAGTTCATAACTTGAAAAACGCAATAGGTTTTTAACTCAAAACTTCAGAAAGGTTAGATTTATTAAGTCAAAAGATTCATTAAAAAAAAAAGGAATACTAGCAATATTAGTGGTACATGACACTGGTAAATCAAATATCTTTAAGTAAGTGCCACCTAAATTCTAAGAGACATAAATGCCTACATGCTAATCTCTTAAAATAAATGTGTTTCAGAATTTTCTGTAGAGCTTGACATTCCATATTAAATGTTTTTCTATGTTACTTGGGTGGGGAGGAAAACATATCTCCTCTACATTTGCTTTGAGTTTAAATTGTTTGGAAGTTTTATTAAGAAGGAGAAAAGAAGAGTCCCTTAATTATTTAAATTATTTTTAAAAAATTACATTATTACATTTACATTACATTTACATTATTACATTTAAAAATAATGTAATTAAAAAATTACATTATTTTTTAAAAAATGGACTTCATCATTCAAGACTTTCAAATGTAACTTTATTTACTAAATACCATTTGCATGTTCTTAATAAATATATGTTTATTAAATGAAATTTCTCCCCCTTCTTATTTTTAAAATGAGAGATTCAATGATTTTTCAAGATTCATATTTGCAAAAATTTAAGATATGTTTTATGTCTAATTAGTTTAATTTGCATAAATGTAAAAGTGATTTAATGTTTCACTGCAAATTTCATGGCATCTGAAAAGTATGAAACATACTTTAAAATTCATAAAGAATTTTTAACTAATTTTTAATAATGATATTTATTAAATTTACCATGCAAAGGAAATTCGTATTCAGTATCTGGATTCATCTTTTTATAAGTATAGAAAATTATATTATATAAAGCTCCACCAGGGGTCAACCAGCTTTGTTCCAGTCTTAATTCACACAGGGCTTTACAAAATAAACAACGATACAGACGACCTTCCTGCACAGCTAATTTTGTCTTTTCAATTACAACTTCTGTTTTAGGACCAATGATTCCTATAAAAATTTGGCAAAAAATACAATTACTTTAAAATACTAAAGAAATATCAGAAGAAACTATATCATCAGTATAGAGAACCACAGCTAAAACATGCATGTTGATTAAAAAAAATCACATTTAACAATAAAAAATCATTTGTATATGCATATAACAAATAAATAAAATAAAAACTATCCCCCAATTTTTTTTATGATGAAAATTATTTAATCCTGTATACCTGTGATACATAAACTGAACAAAAATTGCAAGATGGAAATATATCAAATTTTACTAAAATACAAATCAGCAAGAAATTATATATATGCAAACTTAACCTACTATTGACCAAGAGGGTATGCAAACTTAACCTACTATTGACCAAGAGGGTGACCAGTTAATGAAATGTCAAGTTTTACAGCAAAAAAATGACAATTTATTCAGAACTTCTTACATTTTATTGAAAACCCAGGGGGCAATTTTATTAGTACTTTCCTCTTTGTTCAGTCTCTCAAGTCATCCAATTTAATTTCCCTTGTCATATTAATTTGTATTGTATCTTTTTGACTCAATGAACATTTTCAGTTGCTAGCCTGAATGCAAACTGAGACTCTCTACCCAGAATGAACTGAAAATTTGCTTACACTAAGGTACAGTCATAAACCTTTAAGCAAGTCCACTAAAGCTGCATTCAGACGGGAGCATAGAGGCATAGTTATAAGGGCATAAAATACAGGTCATCCATTCATACCTGCGAGATGGGAGTCTAAGCTGTGGCCAATGCGAGAAGCTAAATTATGTAAATTATGTATACAACATATGTATATTTTTTTTCATACAGGGTGTATAAAAATGTAAATGTAGGGCACATTATAATAATTGAGAATTGCAAAGCAACCCATTATCTGAAATGTCATTGTGTGCCACTAGGTAGTGCTATGCATGACTGCATTGGGAGTGATAGTGAGGATTTTGTCTCTAGTGGTAGCCAGCATGCAAAGAGCATGCAGTGGTATATAAATGGTGAGGTTGCAGACATGCACTTAATATATGGAATAGCTGAGACGATGGATAAGCCGCTGAACAAATTTATCAAGAATGTTTATTATCAAGAATAGGCATCAATCACACGACAGTGAGTTGGCTTGTGTGCATCATAATTTGTGTGAGTATGGGTCATCAAGAAGTATCAGGACTAATGAGGGTATGCTACGATCAATGCATTCAGGCGTTACAGAACAAATTGTGTTGGATGTCGCGAAGACTAATTTCAGTACAAGCATATCTGCTTTTTTATTTGCCTTAACCCTCTGACTGCTCAATTTGTGGACCGAAATCGCTTCAAAAATTGTATAATTTTTTTTTTTTTTTTTTGGCAAATTTTAAATCTATATACACTGGTGTGCAAAAATTAAGGACGAGATGGTTTCTTCAATATAACTTTGTACAAAAGCTTTCCAAATCAACACATTTAATACCGTAAGATCCCCAATACGTAAGAACATGAGTAATGTAAGCAACACTTACTAAAAGAGAAATCAGAGGGATAAAAAGAAGCTTTATTGAAAAAGTAGCATGGAGCGCAATGCGACTGAAGGCCGAAACATCCCTGTGATGGGTGTCCAGCAAGAAACATCCGGTCTTTAATAGGGGATATGATCTTCCCTGACTGCTAAGCAGGTTTCACAGCGTCTGCCCATGCTGAGAATGAGGGTGTCAATGAGTTGTTGAGGCATCGCTGCCCATTCGTCTTGCAGCGCCAATCGAAGCTCCGGAATCGTTACTGGTGGTAAGGTACGAGCTGCCAAGCGCCTACCTAGAAAATCCCATACATGCTCGATGGGATTGAGATCCGGAGATCGTGCCCGCCAATCCATACGTTCAATATCCTCACTCTCTAAGAGATGTTCAGCAGCTACTATGCGATGACATTGTGCATTGTCGTCCATGAAAAGTAACTGCGGACCCATAGCGCCTCTAAAAAGACGCACATATGCAAGAAGAATCTCCTTACAATAACGGGTCCCGTTGACTGAACCTGCGTCGAAGATGTGAAGGTCTGTACGACTACCAAGCATGATGCCTCCCCAAACGAGACACCGCCACCTCCATACCTGTCCCTTTCAATGATGTTCGAGGGATGATTGCGGCTTCCCCGCTCTCTCCAGATGAGTATGCGATGAGAATCGCTATTCACTGAATCTGCTCTCATCTGTAAAGAGTACTCGTCCCCATTCATTGTCTCTCCAATTCCGGTGTTCCCGGCACCACAGAGAACGCCTTCTCCGATGGGCAGGCGTTAGAGGTACACACCGTACAGGGCGTCGTGCAAACAGACCACCACCGTGCAGTCTTCTGGCCTCGGTAAAACACAATATCGGTCGTCCAGTTGCCTGTGTCGTGTGTCTAGCGATTTCTCCCGCTGTCTGCCGCCTGTTTCTTCTGGCCTGTAAGGCAATATACCGGTCATCTGCGGGTGTGGTTCCTCGTGGACGACCACTACTAAACCCCCGGATAGCTGTTCCTGTAGTTTGAAATTGTCTCCAAAGTCGTGAAACGATGCTGTGAGCAATTCCGAACTCTGCAGCCACACTTGTCACACTGCGGCCTTCCTCCAACTTCCCAATGATTCGACCTCGGGTAAAAGCATCCAGATGTCGTCTAACAGATTGATTATTCGCCATTTCTCGCTGAGGCAGCAACTCGGTGTGATTTTAACTGCTATACGGCGTGCAATCTCTTTGCCAGAAAAACTGATCTTACACCGACAACATGCTTTATACTACTCAGACATTCCCCCATTACGTCTACCTGCATATCTGCGCATGTGCTACCGTACATCACCTTACTTAATCTTGTGATTGGTCTTTCTGTCCGCTCTGCCTTTTCGTTCAGCTGATATGCTAATTTTTCGACTTCGTCCTTAATTTTTGCACACCAGTGTATATTGGAGAATTGAAAAATGCATTTTTTCTTTCTAGAAAATATTTTTTATATAGATTTTTATCATGAGAAACTAAGTTGCCAGAAATACCAATTTTTAAATTTTATCACCAAAAAAATTTTTTTCAAGTAAATTTAAGTCGAATTACAGTTAATTTCTATTTATTGCATAATATAAAAGGTAGAATTATAAAATTTTAGAAAATATAAAGCACTGAGGAAAAAATACATTAAAAATGCAGTTTAGTATGATAGAGTTCAAAACGGGGTTCAAGGCAAAGTTCAACTTCACAGTTTTTGCATGAGATTCAATAAATCTAATTAATAATCAATTTAATTATTAATATAATCAAAAATCTAATTAATAATTCAATAATTTAATTAAATAATCAAGATAATCGCTGAATATTTTCGAGCGGCCATTTCTGTGAGAAAAAAGCGGCAAAATGTCGTGTTTGAGTGGTAATACCACGTGCCTTCAAACGCCCCAATTTAGCGGACAACTAGCGATATTTGTGTCCAAAACGTAAACTAAATGTCTAATACTGTATATAATTTATTTCAGTGGTCAAATGGGGAAAAAACGGGATGCGCTAATCAATAAAGGAAGAAAAACACACGCCCGCGGAAATCGCGGGATGCGCAGATTTTGCTACATTTGCCTTGCCCGTGGAAATTGCGGGATGAGCAGCCAGAGGGTTAAGAGTGCCTCTTAGCAGTACACAGCATTTTTTGAATGCCGAGTCTTTATATGCCTTTAATCTCCGTAGGGTTCAGTTACTGCTTCTCAAAGATCATCCTGCATGTGCACATTTCATACAATGATATTTGCAACAAAGTGTCCGAGATGTGAATTTTCAGCTTATGTGTTGTTCACTGATGAGGCCGAGTTCAATAGGGACGACATATTCAATCAGCATAATGCACATTTGTGGGCCCAAGAGAACCCCCAACATCGCTTCACAGTAAATACGTAGACAGGTTTGGTCGATGACTACATAGCGGGGCCATACCTTTTACCATCCTGCATGGATCTTTCAGGAGTAGGTTTTTCCCTCCAATGGAGCATTTTGGACTTGCTGTTTACAGGCGTTTGAACAGTTCATTCCCACAATGATGGATTGTGGACTGGTTTCCTGACTCCTATGCTTACCTAATTTATTAAGCCTTGATTTCTTTCTGTGGAGAGCCCTCAAAGCTATCATGTATCACTATCCTGTTGAGTCTGAAATGGATCTCATGATGGAAAGACTTGACTGCACTGTTGCTACAATCAAAGAAACCCCTGGTGTGTTTGACTGTGTCTAGCAGTCAAGTATTAGGCATATCTGGTGTCTAATGGTGCAAACTTCAAGCATCTGTTGCAATATTAGAGCTGTATTCACCTTGTATGCCATTTGTACTCATGATGTCAAGTAAATGTTTCGAACTAATATCACTCTCTTGTGGCCTTTCTAATCTTATACCTCTGCTACCATTTACTTCTGACGTTTCCGGTTATGACTTGTTAAATAATTCACAATCTTATAATGTGTTCTACCTTCCCCAAAAGTCTGTCGTTACATTTTTTAAACAGCCTGTGTATATAAGGTTGTGCATAATTATATGTATACATGATATATATTGTTTCAGAATTTGTCATTACCATTAAATTTTATTTTGATGAAAGTAACAGTGCACACAGAGTGTAGATTTAGAAATTTTTGATTAAAATACTTGGTTGGAACATTATTATTTAGACTAATAATATAATGACATTTAATTTATACAGTTTTTTTTCAAGAATTACTTCATTTATTACTACTGCATGGATGGTATGTTTGCACTTTTTGTACAGAATAACATTAATTTTTTACAAACATAAATCATACATTGCATTGCTAACATCTTTTACAACACATATAACTGGTTCAATTAGTCAAATCAAACTTAAGATGTTTTCATGTTAAATACTGATGAATAAGATAGAATCTAATTACTAAGACTATTTATCTGCAGTTCAATACTAATTCAAATATGCTTTAGATTTGATATCACATGCAAACTAGACAAAATGCAAGTCCAAATTAAAATCATTTTAATGTTGTAGATGCAATTAATTATGAAAATTCTCAAGTTCTTTAAAAAGCAATTAAAATTGAAAAAGTATATTCAAATGGACATAAATTTATCAACACTGTTACATCCTTTTATAATATTTTTTTGTTTTGACCGATTGTATATTTAAACCTATAAAAATGTAACCATTTTTATTGGTCTGAGGCTGACTTGAAAATGTATTATTATTTAGTTGACATGGGATATTCTTCTCTTAATGGAACCCAATCACAAAATGTAAAACAAAGTGCCAGATGTGATAGCCTGATCGCAAATAAGCTGGAAGAATGAACATCAATTCAGGAATTTTTCTCTTCTAGATTTTTAGTTATTTAAGTGAATGAATTGACAGCTGCTAGACATGAACATCTGCAAGTTAACCATAAGCACATTATTGACTGGCATGAGAAGCCATCTGCAAAATGGCGAAATAAACATCAATGCAGCACTGACTGTCACCATCTAGATTCTTAACTCATTCAAATCATATAGTGGCCTGTGCATGAAAAATAAAATGTTTTTGGATATGTTACTTAAAATTGGCAATACTATGTCTTCTGCATAATCTAAAATTAACCTGGTGAAATCTATTTTGTATTTGTCTCATTTATCCTGGATTTAATAAAATAGTCCTTCTTTTCATGAAGCTTTACATATCATTAGTGCTGTCGCCATTTAGTTAGATTTTGCATCAATATGCTTGGTAGTAAATGACCATTTAAAGTTGCTGATATATTATACACATTAATTAAATTCTTTCATTTTTTTGGCGAGGACAGGACATTTTTGATTAAATAATTATTTCTGCATTATTACAAAGTGTTTGTCTTGCCGATATAAATTATTTCAATACGGATTCATAGCTTACAGAAAAAAACTCCCAATATGCACGTATATTTTAAACAAACTATATATAAATAATTTTTAAACATTACCACTATGGAACACAAAACAAGAGATGATAAAATATTTTAGATTTATCCTAATGTCAAACATAGGAACTGTTGTTTGCTAACCTAATGTTAAACCTTGATCAAAAGTCCTAGATAAATTGGGAATTTCTTTTCTGCTGAAGACAGAAGGGATCCTATGTATTTGCAGCTAGACGGAACTTCTAAGAGTTTTAACTGTAAAATGTAACCAATAATGTTAAATCTAAAATTAATTCTTTTTTAAAATGAACATTTAACCATAATATTTAAAGTTTTGTTTTATTTACACAGCACTTTAGAGTTTTCAAAGTAAAATAATTCTTCAGTGAATTCATATTTATTAAAAGGTTATACACAACTACTATATGTAATGATAAAATATGTGCAGCCATATTTTAGTGGATGTAAACTGTCATGAGAAAGTGTAAGACAAACACTTTAGTACATTTTTGTTATTATTTATAATAGGATATAATCAACTCATTAAGCATAAAAATCAATGAAAATAAGTCATTAAATTACGACTTCATTATATTTATAATATGCTTTTGAAAGGCATACATATATTTAAATAATTGTAGCCCTAACAATGTCATTAACTTTCATTTCATAAACTTACCATTGTCAGAAAACAAGAACAATTTGCTGTCAGCTACTAATGAGGGATGAATGCCATTCTGTTCAGTAAAGAGAACTTCCATTGCTCCTACCAAACGCTGAACATAACCATCACTTAAAGCCCGGCTGCCGCCAACAGTACAGCTGCCATTAGCATCAAATTCTATGTACAAAAAAATACTATTCTGAGGCATACCCCAAACTTTTGGCAATAATGCTGCTGGTAGAACAGGAAGAGGTTCTATAATGAGAAAATTTCTTTTTCAATAAATCTCACACACACGCACAAAGGAAAAAAAAAAAAAAAAAAACCTGATATGTACACCACATGAATTCCTTGTACGGAATATTAAACTATATGGAATTTTTCTTGCATTTCATTTAAACTTATTGGATTGAATTATATCTACTTCCTCAATAGTGCATAAACCACAATAGAATAAATGGACTCTTTAAAATTCACTATATTTGTTTACCATACAGACACTCTGGCGCTACGCATAGTTCCCTTAACAGCATTACATTTTATAACTCAAAATGCGCAAAATTTATATCATCTGAAGAATTATCTAATCATTGACACATGTTCTATTCAAATATTATAATAAATCTAAAATGATGTATAAAAGAAATTAAAACAAACAAACAAAAAAGAAAAAAGACAGTTTTTTCACAGACGATTCAGCATTTCTCATTCAATTAATTCAGTCCTCACTTCTCTATAAGGCTAAAATACATAAAACTCAAAATATTTATATTGTTGCAAAGCTTAGTTTCTCTAGATTGGCAACAAATCACTATTCTGCCAAGTTTCAAATATAAACAAACAACTGCCATGGCAAAAATAATTAGGCTTAGCCACACTTAAACAACTTTTAAATTATTGATAATTCTACAAAGAGATTGCATAGAGATTTACTAAAGGCATAAAAACCTTAACCGGAAGATAAGAACAACATAATTCAATCACTTTTAAAGCAAAAAATGCACAATTTACAAGCATATAAGAATAAAGAAACTGAGATCACTGAGCCGAGTACATACTAGATATATATATACATATATTTATATACTTTTGGTGTGGCCGATTGCAACCAAAATATGAGGTGCACATCTACATGTTATAACAGTCCTATATACAAATTTCAACGTTCTGAGGCTACTCGTTTTTGAGTTATGCGAGACACGTACATACAAATGTATGTACAAACAGACACCACAAAAAATTCTCTTCAGAATTCCTTTTAAATTAATTTTATAAATTTTTTTGGGAAAAAGAGTCCTTTATTCTGTCCTTACACACAGATGTCATGCAAAAACATCATTAAATTGCATTCAATAGCGGTAAAAATGAATATTTGCATCGAAATGTGATGCTTGAAACTTTTCGCAATTACAATATTTCTGTTTTACTTCTTACAAGGAATTAAAAAAAGAATAGGGCAAGATAAAATTCTTATTTTAATTCATCAGCTTTTGAACTAACTCTAGCAGAAATTATCCGACCCAGGCTATTTCAATAAATATTCTTGTGATATTAAATGAATGCTCTTCCCACCCACTACAGACCAGCTCTTATTGATGCTACATGTTTTTTACAATAAATATATATACACAGAGATAGACAGACAATTGTTTTTAATTAAAAAAATTATATCTAGATAAAAAATATACTTAGTTTTGCAACAGAAAAATTTAATATTCTGACGTTCTAAAACTACAGACGAACTCAATTTTTTTTTCACAATGAAATACTAGAAAAAAGTTCCCTCTCCCCCTCCAAAAAAATCATTTAACATGAGTTTGGGTAGTTAAAAACATTATCCAACACAGAGGAAAAAAATCAAAAAGATATGATTTTTTATTATGCAAAACAACCCAAAATAGTTAAGAAAAATCTTTTTTCACCATTTAGTACCACATATGGCGAGAGGCTGTTTTCATAAATGGATATGTCTTATGTAAAGAGGTGAAATAGAATTCTTTCCCATCCCATAAAAGCTAAGGTGTTATTATTCAAGCATCATAATTTATTATTTCTGAAAATGACAGTGTATTTTTAGGTATAAATTTTCAGTAATGAAGTAACCTTGAAGCTTTCTATTACTTTGTATCAGGAGTACAAATAAGTCCCTGCCTTTTTTTAATAAAAAAAAAATGGGCATTTATTGTGAAAGAATGGTACAATATATTTCATTCAAAGTTTTGTCAATCGTTAGCCACTACTTTTTCCCATCTTTCTGGCAGCACATGGATAACTGTGTAAGAAGAACGCTTCACCTTTATCTTTTGAGGCTATCCACAAATCAACGCAAGTTTTGGTATCTTCATACGATGTGAAGTGCTGCTTAGGCAGGCCATGCGCTACTAATCGAAACAAGTAATAATCAGAAGCAGCAATATCTGGTGAATACAGTGGGGAGGGAGGGAATTTCTCATTACAAAATTATATTATAGATATTTGATAATATTTGAAGGTTATGTTGTTAGCAGATGTCCAATCATATGATATGACATCTTACATCAATTTTAACCATAACTTACTGGTGGCCCTGTTTTTTTATTCAAACTTATTTGTACTTCCTAGAAAATCTGCATTCAAAAAAAAAAAAAAAAAAAAAAAAAAAAAAAAAAAAAAATTTTGTTTTGTTTGTAATTGAGAAAATTATTTTGCTCTACTATTTTAAAATAATAAAAATTCCATATGTGCCTTGAGATTTAAAGAGACAACTGTGAATATATTTAATTTGCTGGATGTTCGGTTATATCACAATAATACCTGGTTATTGCCAAATATTTGGTAAGGTATGACAGGAAATGGATGTTTACTGGATATCTTTTACACCCCTAATTTCTTGCCAAGAAATTTCACTATTATTTGCATTCAACTGAAAGATGACTTTATATTCTTTGACAGATTTTAAATTTTAAATTATAACAAACTTCTGCAATCAATTTACAGTGAAAGCTTTAAATGCTCACAAAGATGAACCCACAATATTTGAAGAAATATTCTTAATGAATTGCCATGGAAAAAGAGGAGTACTTTTCCTTAATGCTATGATCTGCACTTTTGATGCCCATATTGGCTTATTTTATTCCTCACATATTGGGCTTGATACTAGATAAAACAGAACAATTGGGAATAGCATTCTCTAGTCTCATAATAAAATACCCCAAAAATCTGTTATTGGGGATGACCACAGCCTATCTTATTTGTATCTTTTTGTGAGTTATTTCCCCCAAAAAATTGAAATAACGATTTTATCATTCTTAATACATGACCTGCAGTTAATATGGTTAACAGGTTAGGTCATACGAATATTATGAAACACACTACGGCTATCTACCTAAGAGGAGGAAGAACTTTTGAAGGAAAATCTGGCTTGCATTCATTTTACACACATGAGGAAAACCACAAATCCAACTATGCAGCCAGCCCATTTGCTTGGGTTCAAATGCAGGACAAACCAAAAGGTTTAGCACTTTTAACCACTTGATCAGTACCACGGCTATAGTTAATCCATATAGCTGATAGCTAAAAAATCATAAAAGCATAACTAAAAAAACTCAAAGATTTGTTTTGGTCCCACTCGACAAAATGGTGCTGAAGGTGTAGAAGCTGACTTAATTTCTTGTGGACGCTATGCTGAGTCAATATACAAGATCATTTAATAACTGAAATGATAATTCTAAAATGGATAAAGCATGATTTAATTCAAAATAATAAAAGAAGATGTTATCTTTGTTGTTGCAAAGGTTTCTAGATTTGCAACAAATCCACTATTCTGCTAAGTTTCAAATGTAAAAAAATATGGCTGCTATGGTAAAAAAATTAGGCTTAGCCACACCTATACAACTTTTAAATAGTTGATAATTCTACATCTATAACATGCAAGTTAATTAAAGGCATAAAAACCTTATTAAACATTATTACTTTATTAAACATTTCTTTGAACACGCGCATGCATAAAGCATACATTACACATAGTCGAAATTAGGAAATTGCAACCAGAAAACTATTTGATGTGTATTTGTGATATTTATAATGACGAGGAATTTGATTTAAATCATATCAAAGACGAAGTACATCGAGATGAAATACTACATTTAGTAAGGAATTACCGTATTTGACGGCATATAAGACACACTCTTATTTAGAACGCCACACACAAGGAAAAAAGTTTCAATAGTCCGCGCAACAGCACTGTACCACAATAACTTAAAATGTGGTTTCTTTTAGTTCTCATGTTTCATAAAAGCCAAATAAACAATCATTGAATGCAATTACCAAACATATTTTTATTAAGGAAAATTAACAAACGGCAAGCTATTTTGAACATGATATGTAAATTTCAATAATGAATAAATGAATGAACGGCAAGCAATCAAACATAATACAAAATAAAGCAGAAACAGCAAAAAACACGGATTCAAGGAAAACGTTGTGTTAGCATTTAATTAGTTTATTAAAAACACATTCCGTCAAACATTAATTGTTAAATACTTGCTTTATTCAGAAACATTAATGCTCAAAAAACATTACCATTCAAATTATTATCGTTCAGAAAAAAACTGTTGTTGCCAATCGGGAAAATACATTTTAAATAAAAATTAATACGTTGCATTTACATTTGGGCATCCTGACTTAGTTACGACCTCTGCGTCTTCATCTGTAATCATCCTCATCAATCCGTCGTTCAATTTTGGTGAATAACCGTGAAGCATATCGAAAAGAGTTTTATTTGTAGTCTTATTTATCATATTGTTTAGATTTCTTTCGCATTCCTTAATCTTTTTGTCCCAGTCTCTCTGATTCGGATTTTCCATACTCGTTTTAATCGTAGCCAAAATTGTTCGATTTGCTCTTTCCACCATTCCATTACCACTTGGATGCTGAGTTGAATTGAGTGTATGACTGATTCCATTATTTTGACAGTACTCTCGAAATTCCTTCGCTGTGAAACATGTTCCTCTATCGCTGATAATTTTTTCTGGTAACCCAAAATCATCTACAAAACTCTTCAATGCAACTAACACATACTTGGTTGCAGTACTTTTCATAGGATATATAAGCGTGTAAATCTCGTAAAATTATCAATTATTACAAATAATTCTGTATTTCCTCTTGAACGTTTTACGAATGGTCCTAAATGATCTATATGTATAATTGCAAGAGGTCTTCTACCAGGTCTAATTAGATGCAGTACTCCTTGTTTCTTACCATTAGGCATTTTATTT